AACCTGATAGGGGACAGGGGAAGGCACCCAGTGTACTCCTTAATTCCCCACCTGTAGTCATCCTTGTGGTTCATCCTTGTGGTCTTTCTGCGGAGCTGCTGTTGTCAGCGACAGCTGAGGGGGTGTTGTGTGGTGCTGTTGTCCCCTCCAGGAGTACATTGTCAACAGGAACAGGAAAATCGAGAAGCGACGCCAGGAGCTGACGGAGAAGGAGGGCACGAAGCAGAAGCCAGATCCATTCAAGGGTAAGAGGTGTCACCTGTCCAGGGACAGCAGCCAGCTGGTGCTGGGTGTGTTCTGTGGGGCAGAGTGAGTTTTTTGCCCATTTTGTAGAATAAATCATTTTGGGGAGGGCGGATGTCTGTCCATTCTGTGGTTTATCCAGCAGCAGATCCGCGAGGCTCACAGAATAGAAAGGAGGCAAACCTCCAAAAGCTTGGGCAGAATGCCTCGTTTCCCCCAACTTTTGCCTAATATCTTCCCATTCCTGCAGGCATTGGCCAGGAGCACTTCTTCAAGAAGATCGAGGCCGCTCACTGCATGGCCTGTGACATGCTGATTCCTGCCCAGAACCACCTCCTGCAGCGGCACCTGCGCTCCGCAGAGCACAACCGGAACCGCAGGGTGAGCAGCAGCACCCCTCTCTTCTCCTCCTTGTCCTTTTCTCTGAGGGATCCTCCTCCTTCTGTTCAGTCTCTGCCTCTGAGGAACGTCCAGCATGAGCTTTGGGTTTGTTTGCGGCCTCTAAATCACTTCTATATCTATTTTTTATCCTTTTTATTAAAACATAAAAAGAACAACAGGAGCATAAGACTAGTGGGGTAGTTGACTTTGTTTTTGTGAAACTAATGCCCAGATAACAGTTGAAACACACAGATGAGTTGATGCTAACCCAAACCATTCTATGATTCTGTGATTTTCATCTTGAAGATGCACGTTTAACTAATGAGTTAACTAATGAGCGGCTGTAAATGTGCAGGCTGAGTTTTCCTTCTCTCTAAATCTGTGTTTGCTGGAATTCTGACGTAAAAATTCTGACGTAAAAATTCTGACGTAAAAATTCTGACGTAAAAATTCTGACGTAAAAATTCTGACTTAAAATTGCTTTTGAGGGCACTTAAGGAATTCAGATGCAAGGCAGTAATGTCTAAGTGAGGTTTTAGAAATGGGATGGGTTGGGCCAATAACAAATTGAAGAGAATCCTAGAATGGGTTGTGCTGTAAGGGTCCCTGAAGATCCTAGAACCATGAAATGGTTGGGTTGGAACGATCCTTAAACATCACAGAACCAGTGGTTGGACTGGGGAAGGTCCAGAGGTTCCACTTCCAGCCTCCTACAATTCTGGGATTTGTAAAAGAATCTGAACACCTTGAGCCCAAATCTGACCTTTCATCCCACGACTCTGATGTTGGGTTCCCTTCTGTGGTGTTGATTAGGTTCCCCACTCTGACATTTGTTGGATTCCCCTTTCTGATGTTTGGTTCCCTTTCTGATGTGGGTTCCCCTCTCCACCCTTTGTTGGATTCCCATCTCTCCAGTCTGGTTTCCCCCCTCCAACATTTGTTGGTATCCCTTCTCTGAGGTTGGTTGGGTTTTCCTATCTGATACTCATTGGGTTCCCCTTTGGTTGGATTCCCTTTTCCAGCATGGGTTCTCTTTTCCAACGTTGGTTGGGTTCCCACCTCTGACACTGGTTGGGTTTCCTTCCATTGTGTGTTGGATTTCTTGCATTTCTTTGGTTCCCTTTCCAATGTGGGTTCCCCTTTCTGACATTTTTTGGGTTCTTGTCTCCAACGGTCATTGGGTTCCCTATCTGATTTTGGTTGGGTTCCTCACTCTGATGTTTGTTGGGTTCTCCTCTGCAGTATTTGCTACTTTCTCTCCCTGGCATTGAGTGGGTTCCCTTCTCCCATATTCATTGGTTTCTCTCTCCAACACAGGTTGGGTTTCACTCTGTGACATTAGTTGGGTTCTCTTTCCTCTGTGGGTTCCCTTCTCCAACATTTCTCGAGCCCCCTTTGGCGTTTGTTGGGTTCCCTTCTGCAATGTGTGTTCCCCCATCTGACATGGCTGTGTCTCCTCCCCAGATGGCCGCAGAGCAGTTCAAGAAGACCAGCCTGCACGTGGCCAAGAGCGTCCTGAACAACAAACACATCGTCAAGATGCTGGAGAAGTACCTCAAGGTGAGCCAGAGGGGGCGGTGCTGAGCTCCGGGAGCCACACGCGTGCTCTGCGTGTGTTCAGTGTGTGCTGGCTGTGTGCTGCAGCCCCGAGATGGGGAGAGGCTCCGCTCCCTCTCTGCTGCAGCCTTTGAAAAGGCCGAATTTTGAGTCTGGTTTCTCTCACTCCGGAGGCGGTTCACAACCTCTCGTGTTTTTAACTTGCAGACTGTACAGTACCTACCGTAACCCCCAGATCAGTTATGAACCATCACTAAAGACACAAAATAGCCAAAACAAAACAAAAAAGCAGGAACTAAGCCCTAAAGCCACCCCGAGCATGAGGCCCGAGCTCAGCTGGGTGCAGCGTGCTCCGGGGACGGCCCCGAGCCACCCCACGCCCCGCACAGAGCCGAGCTCTGCGGAGACCCCACGGCACAGAGCCTCCAGGCGCTGCACCTCGCTCGCTGCCCCGAGATCCCGGTGGGAAGCAGGAGCTGCCCCCGGGCCAGCCCGCGGCGCAAGGAGCCGGTCCTTAGGGCCAGCGCGGCGCCGGGAGCGGCAGGAGGAAGCCGGAAACCCGCAGGGGGCCGGAGGAGAGCTCGCAGCCCCGCGACGACGCCACGGAGCCGCTTCCCCCGACCCTGGGGGGCACCGGGATGCGCTGGGAGACCCCCCTTGTCCCATCGGCATCACGTTGGCCTTCCCAACCCAACTGCGACTCCATCCTCTTGGGTCCGGCGCAAAGAGCCGCCGAGCTTTGCGTTCGCCCGGCGCCGCCCTCCGGGCTCTCCCGCTCGCTCAAGTTACGACTCCATCCATCTACCCCTTGCCAGGGTCCCCAGGCACGTCACCGGCACCGCCGTCACCTCCCGAGCGACGGCGTCCCACGCTGCCGGCAGAGCTAAGCGCGCCCGGCCGCCGTCCGTCGGCGGGAGGAGAGCGTGGAGCCACCCCGGCGCCGTCCTCCGTACCGTTCCCAGGTGCCTAAAGCTGAAAAAAGGGGAAAAAACTGAAGGATTGCAGGTAATGCCCGAAAGCTGCCTCGTCCCCAGCGGAGCCGGGGCGCTGCGTGCCAGGACTGCCCCGCTGGGCACAGCCGGCGGGAGGACTGACGGCTCCGCTCGCAGCCGGCATTCCCGTAGCTTTTCCCGGTGATTCCCGGACAAGGCTCCGGCTCCGGTGAACCCGAGCAGGGAAGAGCGAAACGTTGCATGGATCGCACGGAGGCGGCCGAGCGTGGGGCTGAGCCTCCCATCGGCTCCGTGGGGCGAGCAGCCCGCCCGTGTGGGGCCGTGGGGAGCGGGGCGCAGCCCGTGGGGCTCCCGCTGCTGCTCTCTGGGAGCTTCCAACGAGATAACGAGCTCCGACAATTAAAGCCACGCGCACGGGGGCGGCCGGATCCCCCCGGAGGAAGGCAGCACTGTCGGATCTCCTGCGCGCGCCCGTGCTGTAGAGCGGGGCCACCGCGATTCGGGATCTCGGCTTCTCCTGCTGAAAGCGTTGGATCCCGCTCCCGCCGTCCGATGGTTCCCGGCTCCGTGCCCCGGCCCCGCTCAGCGCAACCTTCCCTGCTGTTCTTTTTCCCAGGGGGAAGATCCGTTCACGGATGAGATCCCAGAGGAAGGAGAAGGGGTGGAAGGAGCGAGCGGAAGCGGCGCTGCGGATGTTGCTGGTTCAGGTGACAACAGCACAGAGCTGGAGGGTTTGTGCGACGTCCCCAAGGATCCGGGTGACAACACCAAGGACCTGGCTGACAACGAGGACGGCTGTGACGGCGCCGAGGTCACGGCTGATGCTGAAGGGACGGGTGATAACGCAAACGAATCGGGTGACACTGGCGACCTGGGTGATGCCAAAGATCCAGGTGACAGCACCGAGGACGTGGGTGACAGCACCGAGGCTCGTGACACTGCGGGCATGGATCCGCCAGCAGCAGAAGAGCCCCATGAGGAGTTCCTCCGCCGCCCCCCCCGGCCCCCACTGCTGCCCCCGTTCCTACAGGATGAGGACCTCCCCCAGGATGAAGAACCCCCCCAGGATGAGGAACCCTCCAAAAGTGGACCTGAGGGTGGGGAGAAAGAAGAGGAGGAGAAGGAAGCAGCTCTGGCAGCAGCTGAGCAACTCTGAATATCCCCACACCGTGAGTGCCACCCTCCCCCCCCCGTCCCCCAAAGATTCATTTTATTTCACAGAATCACAGAATGGTTTGGGTTGGAAGGGATCTCAAGGATGATGATCTCCACCCCCCATTTAATACCAGCCCAGGCTGCCCAGGGCCCCATCCAACCTGGCCTGAACATCTCCAGGGATGGAGCATCCACAACCTCTCTGGGCAGCCTGTTCCAGCACCTAAACTTTTCCTCTTTTCCTGCATTTGGGTTTGGGGTGAGGACTCTGTGGGGGCACAGATGCACTGAGCTTTGCTTCTCCCCCCCTGCCCCCTTTGTTTTAGGTTGAAAAACGATGGAATCCATCCACAGTCCCCAAGATCACACGTGAGGACGGCACTGCTTTGGTTCTGGGGGCATTTCGTTGGGATTTTAGGATTGAAATGTCGTTGTTTGTTGGTTGGTTTGGGGGAATAAATCAGATTGTATCTGCTGGGGGTGGCCTTAATGAGGCAGAGTTGGGGTGGGGAGGGAGTATGGGAATTATGGGGGGAGTGGGGGGCACTGGGAGGGTTTGGGAAAGGTTTGGAGGTGCTGGGGGCAGATCCCCCTGCATTG